TTTATAAAGGTTCGAATTTAACAATTAAGGAATTTTATTTCAGTGTATATACGTTACATGATCCTTAGAAAGTGATATTAACCGAGAAGAAAGGTTCACGTAACCATAATTTTATATTCACCTCCACAAAAGTCCATAACTGATAAATATATTTCTAAATTTCCAATTGTTAAAACGATCGAGAAATTATCATTTCAATGAACATTTAATACAAACCACCTGCAGACTTCAGGCACAAATAGCTGATTCTGCTTTTTATTTTTATAATGTATATTAATTGTATTATAATGAGATCATCGAGTAATAATTGATCATCGGGAAAGTCAATTTTGTGAATTTCTCATTGTAATTCAACACAAATCCGTAACGCTGATTGGTCTGCATCAATGTTAGGTAACATAGTTTTTTTACTCCCTTGTTAAAATAGTTTGTCGTATTTCATTCCAAAATCCATCCCTATCGTTCTCTTCCTCTGGATATTTTATTGTTTTACAGTATTTATACGCGCTCGTCACGTATTCAGGGACACGTTTAAAATCTAGATCTATAAATAACATTACTAAACAGTCGCGGCTTTTTCGAGTCACGCTCTCATTTACACAGGTATTCAATACAAATTCACACCAGTTATCTGCAATAAAATGCTCCGTTATCACAAACACTAGTTTCTCGCTGTCTGGTAGAAACTCCGATAGCTGCCTCAGTTGATATTTGTTATGTGAAAAGTTCCTTTCCTGCCAGCAAACCCGGATGTTGTGTTCATTTTCAAACTGTTCCAGTTGAGGAAGTAAAAAAATGCGACTCCAACAATCATCTTCTGATATTACAAAAAAAGATTTAAACGTATATTGCCTCACGTTATCGACTGCTGTTTCTTGTTTCTTGAACTTCCTCCAAAAGAAGTACTGAACTTTCCACCTGTATTTAAAAAGGAAGGACGAAATAACTAGAAACAACAACAAAATACTCATTCCGGAGATCGCAAAAACTATCAAGAAAGATTCATGATTGCAGTTTCCTAGAAACAGCTGGTAGTTATCATTAACGTGACGCAGCATGGCAATGGAACCGTTTGGTAACACGCACGTGTAGTTGGTATGATGGTCGAGCATGACATTGGTATCGTAAATCCAAAAAACGAACTCCAGTGTATCGCACGTGCAGGCAAAGGGATTCCCATACATCAAAATCCTAATATTATGTTCGGGCCGCGAGTCCATCATATCCAGCCATGTCATTGCTTTCTTCCTAATGTAATTTAGTTTATTGTTCCTCAGATCTATGTTAGTGAGATTTGGCAAAATGTACAAGCCTGCAGGGAAATCATTGAAAAAGTTCCAAGACAGGTCTATATGTGTAACCCCTTCCAAGCCCTGTACGCTTTCCTCTTCTAGGATACTTAAATGATTTGACGATATGTCTACCTCATCCAGTTGCTTTATATCCTTGAAAATGTAATTCTTATTACTGAAGGCACGATCTAAATTGGCATTCTGAATGACCAGTTTATGCACCCCTTCCATATTACCGAGCAGCATCCGTCCTGATGTTGCAAAATCAACACCTGAAACGTTCATATACTCTACCCGTACTCCTAGTATACGAAAATCTGTACTTGAAATAGTTGTGTGTGATATGTCAAGCAGATACAATGTAGGAGACCTAGACATATCCAGATCACAATCAATGAAAAATGGAAAGAGCAGATGTGTGAAACGTACGAATCGCATATGTGGTCCCGGGCTGAGGGGCATCACACATCGAAAAGATGACTGTCTTTGTGGTTCTGGTAAATAACGTAGTTGTTTCCCATTAACCTTCGGACTTTCCTTGATCCCATGTGAAAATTTGATTGCGACATATGAATAATCAAATTCTTCTAGATATACACTCTCTTCAAAAAATGTCAAAATACTTTGCGCAAAACGAGGGAATGTGAACAAGAAGTTGTTCTCCGAGAACGAAATACGCCTTAAACAACTGAAATCGACAAAGGATTCCAAAGTCCCAACTGCTATTTCTACAATTCCGTTGTTACCTAAGTCAATATCTTCCACACACAATTGTCTATAGTATTGAGTCATTTCTTTTGTCACTTTAACAGTGGAGTTGACATCATACATCCATAATAATATCAACGGATTAACCTTATATAGATTCAGAACTTTCATTTTTCTGACAGGAAGACTTTGATTGGTTGTAGCTGTGAGACCGTACAAAATGTCCATGGCAACCGGAAACGTTATCGAAATACGAGAAAGATCCAGGTATTGCAGGGACGAGAAATGTTGTAAGAAAGCTTTTTCTATTTTCACAAAATATCTGTCATTAACGTGGCAATTTGACATATCCAAATATGTCAACGATTCAATATTACGAAAGTTGATAAATGTATCGTTCTTAAGATGCATTAATGTACAGTCTTTAAAAACTAGTTTGTCAAGCTTTGTCATATTGCTGAACCCTGTTCCAAACATAGGATTCGGTAGAAGGTCTATATAAAGTTCCTGAAGAGACATCAACGATGCGAACACTGAGTCTGGATACAAGGCTTCTTCGTCTAATGGCAAATTAGTATTGTAGGATAAATCCAAATATTTGAGTTTGGTATTGAGGGTAAAACGGATTTGACTAAACGTTTGCTGTACAATGTTGATGTGGTTGTGTCCAAGTGATAAGTCCTGCAGTGCCGGAAGTCCAGAAAACGTGTCTTTACCGATGAATTTGATTTCATTCCAGTTCAAATTTAAAGATTGCAAGTTAGGAAGGTTTAAAAACGAGGATTTGTCTAGAAGTGATAACTTGTTTCCAGATAAATCTAAGCCTTCGGTGAGATTCGACAAGTGTGGAATATGATCGAAACCACGGTTCGAACAATCGGCCATTCTCTTGTCGGTTGATAGCTTACAAGGGCGGCCACTGGAAAGGGCGATGACTGACAGAAGGTTTAGCATAACGAGCTGCAGATAGTTGTCCATCTAGAAAAGAAAACACTAAAATAAACATTGAAGATTTGTCACAACCCCCCACTAAGATTTGGTGGGGGGGGGTTGGGGGGGTGTACGCGTGTAAGTGGAGGCGTTATGTACGTGTGTTAGTGGAGGGGTTGTCGACGTTTTTGAGTAGAAGAGGTTTGGACGTGTGTAAGTGGAGAGGTGTGTACGTGTGAAAGTGTAGAGGATGTGTGCGTGTGTAAGTGGAGGGAATGTGTACATGTGTTCATGGATGAGAGTTTACGTGTGTTATTAGAGGGAGTGTGTAATGTACATGGATAATTGTGAACGGGACTAAGTGGGGATACCTACGTGTGCGTATATTGGTAGGGGTTGTAAGTTTGTAAGTGGACGTTTGTGAACATGTGTAAGTGAAAGGAAAGAGTAACTGCGTAAGTAGAGGGGTTATGTACGTTTGTAAGTGGAGGAGGTGCGTACATGTGTAAGTGGAAAATATTTGTACGTGTGTATAGAAGATGATGTGTATATGCATAAGTGGAAGGATTATGTACATGTATAAGTGGAGGAGCGTGCACGTGTATTAGTGAAAGGGTGTGTACGTGTGTAAGTGGAGGGGATTTATGGGTGTTAGTGGATGGAGTTTACTTGTGTAAGTTGAGGGGATTTTAGTGTGTAAGTTAAGGGTTATGTAAATGTGTAAGTTCAGTGGACGTATACATGTGTAAGTGGAGCGGCATGTACGTGTTTAAGTGGGAGGAATGTGTACGAGTGTAAGTGGACGGGGTGTGTACATGTGTGAGTGTAGGTTTTGTGTGTGTGAATAAGGGGAGCGAATGTGTATATGTGTTAGTGGAAGGGATGTGTAGTGTAAGCGGAGAGCTGCGTACTTGTGTAAGTGGAAATAATGTATAATTGTGTAAGTGGAGAGCTGCGTACTTGTGTAAGTGGAAGTAATGTATAATTGTGTAAGTGGAGAAGTGTGTACTTGTGTAAGTGAAAAGGTGTGTTCGTGTGTAAATAGAGGGAATGTGTACGTGTGAGTATAGAGGTGTGTACTTGTGTAAGTGGACGGAATGTTTACTTGTGTAAGTGGAGATGTGTGTACGTGTGCAATTGGAGAGTGTGTGTACGTGTGTAAGTGGAAGGGGTGTGTACGTGTGTAAGTGGAGGGTGTTGTACGTGTGTAAGTGGAGGGGTGGTGTACGTGTGTAAGTGGAGGGTGTGTACACATGTGTAAGTGGAAGGGGTGTGTACATGTAGAAATGGAGGGAGTGTGTACGTGTGTAAGTAGAGGGGTAGTGTATGTGTGTAAGTGGAGGGGTAGTGTACGTGTGTAAGTGGAGGGTGTGTTCACATGTGTAAGTGGAAGGGGTGTGTACATGTAGAAATGGACGGTGTGTGTACGTGTGTAAGTGGAAGGAGTGTGTACATGTGTAAGTGGATGGTGTGTACGTGTGTAAGTGCAAGGGGGTGTACATGTGAAAATGGAGGGGTGTGTACGGGTGTAAGTGAAGAAGGAGTGTACGTGTGTAAATGGAAGGGTAGTGCACGTGTTTAAGTGGAGGGGTATTGTAAGTATGTAAGTGGAGGGGTAGTGTACGTGTGTAAGTGGAAGGTGTGTGCACATGTGTAAGTGGAAGGGATGTGTACTTGTGTAAGTGGAGGGTGTGTACACATGTGTAAGCGGAGGGGTAGTGTACGTGTGTAAGTTGAGGGTGTGTGAACATGTATAAGTGAAAGGGGTGTGTACATGAGGAAATGGAGGGGTGTACGTGTGTAAATGGAGGGTGTGTGTACGTGTGTAAGTGGAAGGGGTGTGTACGTGTGTAAGTGGAGGGTGTGTGTACGTGTGTAAGTGGAGGGTGTGTACACATGTGAAAGTGGAAGGGGTGTGTACATGTAGAAATGGAGGGAGTGTGTGCGTGTGTAAGTGGAGGGGTAGTGTATGTGTGTAAGTGGAGGGGTAGTGTACGTGTGTAAATGGAGGGTGTATGCACATGTGTAAGTGGAAGGGGTGTGTACATGTAGAAATGGAGGGTGTGTGTACGTGTGTAAGTGGAGGGGTAGTGTACGTGTGTGAGTGGAGGGGTAGTGTACGTGTGTAAGTTGAGGGTGTGTGTACATGTGTAAATGGAAGGAGTGTGTACATGTAGAAATGGAGGGGTGTACGTTTGTAAGTGGAGGGTGTGTGTACGTGTGTAATTGGAAGGGGTAGTGTACGTGTGTAAGTGGAGGGGTAGTGTACGTGTTTAAGTGGAGGGTGTGTGTACGTGTGTAAGTGGAAGGGTGTGTTAGTGTGTAAGTGTGTAAGTGGAGGGGATGTGTATATTTGTAATTGGAGGGATGTGTATATGTCTAAGTGAAGGGCGTGTGAGTGTGATAGTGTAGGGGCGTATACGTGTATAAGTGGAAGGGGGTTTACGTTTGTAAGGGGAGGGAATGTGTATATGTGCAAGTGGAGGGGATGTGGAAGGATGTTATGTTAAATGAGGGGTGTGTACGTGTGAAAGCGGAGGAGACGTGTACGCTTGCAAGTAAAAGAGCGTGAACTTGTATGAGAAGAGGGGCGTGTACATGTATGAGAGGAGGGGGTGTACGTGTGTGGGAGGAAGGGGTGTTTACGATGTGTACGTGTGTAAATGGAGGGAATTGGTATAAGTATAAGTGGAGGGGATGTGTACAAGTTTAAGTGGATGTTCTGTGTAGGTGTGTTAATGGAGGGCGTATACGTGTGTAATTGGAGGGTATGTGTGCATACGTAAGTAAAGGGGTATATAGGTGTGTTGATGATACAATGCACAAATCTAATGCGTTTTCTTGTTTTGTTTCTTTTTTTTTGAACGAATTATTTTAAATCATTGATAATGTAGTCGTTGAAATAATTATTAAATGGATAAAAACCAAAACACTCACCTTTTGCATTTGTTGAACAAACCGAACATTTGTTGGATCCCTGCGGTCTACTAGTCGTCCTGGACAAGTGATACACGAAGGTTAAACAGGGTAAATCGGAATATTCTATAACCTCAAGCTTCGTTTTCTGGGAGATGTTACGACATGTAACACTGTAGTGTAGCCTGCACGTTGTAAAAACGTTAGTACTGTTAACAAGATGGCGGCTGGCAAAACAAGTCAAAGGTGAGTTCTCAGAACGTGTCCGGGTTTTTCTAGTTGAAATCTTCTTACCGATCAACGAATGGTCGGAACGAAAGATTATAGATCAGAGTGTTATAAAATGCTAAAATTACACTCCATAATAGCATCTTTATTAAAGTAGAGTGCTTGAAAGGTGACGGGAGCCGGCAATCGGGACGGTCAGCTGTCGACGACGAGTTTGAAGTTATTTGAAAAACAGGTTCAAAAATTAATTCTGAGTATTTATGGACCCATGATATATGTCAAGAAGCCTTTAAAGATTAATCATAATTTACACTGGTTGCAAAATGTCCTCTTAACAAGCAGATATATGCATTTTAAAGAGGTGACCTAGATTTTTATTTGTGCGGTTTTGACACTCCGTAACTTACGACTGTGTACGGTTGGATGCAAAGTTGTAAAATTGTACGGTCGGGACTGCATATTCGTACATAGCGATTGAGCGTACAGGCTACACTACAGTGATATATGCACTACTCGACTCGAGTCTGTCAAAAACAAACATGTCTCGTCGTCAGTATAGCTACGTTATCGCAGCTACCTGAGCACCGGTGATCGATATCACGCCGTCTTATAAAGTGCTAGGCGACATGACTGACAAAGTTTGTCGTATTTTATTTAAAAGATTATTTTATATAATATTTACATTTATTATTAGGCTTTTGGATGTGTGTATAATCTGTAGTGTCTGATGCAAAACAAAATCAATTTGGTGTTGTCGGTAAACCTACCTACCCTTATTTGTTGTGCATACCCTAAACTTTTTAAGGCAATTTTTAAAGAAGCACTGTAAAAATCAGGACTATTTTTTCTATATAAACCATAAAAAAATATTTTGAAAATAAATATTGTTACCTACTCTATTATATACTTTAATATAGATGCAAGGCAGCTCTATGTGTAGCATCAGTTCCCATTATAAAACTGGTAAACAACTTCTGACTGAAAAACATTTATTCAAATTACTGTGCGGATCGCTATATAAATCATGTCTAAATCATGAGAGCACAGGGATCCCTTCGTGCAATGCGATGTGATGTAAACTTCTAGTTTCACTTTCGTCATTTATGTTGCTCAGTCCAATTAAACACTTCGGCAATTTAATAGGCTTCAACAGATGTGGAGCATTAGGCATTAAAATAACACAGCTTTCCACTATGCACAATATTGTCTTTGATATAACGGACATACCACAGTCCAATGTTAAACCCATTCCGACAAGTACGTCTCCCATAAGAGGTACGGTAGGGGATATCTCAAATTCGTTTTGAATATTTTAAATTTTATGAATAGGTAGGAGACCGATTCAATCAATTCTGTCGCCTTCCTTATATACCTGTTATAGAGTATGGTCCGACAGTACAGAAGACCGATACGCATGTAGACACAAATGTTATGTTTCAGACCGGGAAGATGCGATTGCGGTGTATTTGTAATGAATCAAAGTAGGGTAATAAGTTAAAATTGCATTCCATATTTCTTCCAAACCACACCACACCATAACAAATCACCGTACTAATGGCCATTTTAAGATTCCTTGTAAGTCTGTACAAGGTAACATTTTTATGTATGAATTCACGATAACCGTTTTCTTTGTGTACCAATTTTTCTCTCTCTAAACTTGAACATGCCTAAGAAGAGACCATACACGATAACGGTGTCTTTTGTTTTAGTACCGCTTGTACACAGAAAATTAAACTAACTTCCATTATATGTGATGATTCTTCCGTTGTTGTACCTATCAGTTAAGGACGTGCCTCCAAGTGTGTTGCATATGGTGTTTTTGCCTCATTGTGATAGCGCGGATCTGATGCCGACTTTATAGTGCTACCTCACTGACATACCATGCCAACAGCACCCTGCTCATCATTCCGCCCTGTCACATTATTCTGGCAACGGATGAACCAGCTGACAGGTCCGCATAAATGTAAGGTAACACAGTTTAGTTTACTCCCTTGTTAAAATAGTTTGACGTATTTCATTCCAAAATCCATCCCTATCGTTTTCTTCCTCTGGATATGTTATTGTTTTACAGTATTTATATGCGCTCGTCACGTATTCAGGAACACGATTGAAATCTAGATTTATAAATATCATTACTAAACACTCGCGGTTTTTTCGAGTCACGCTCTCATTTATACAGGTATTCAATACAAATTCACACCAGTTATCTGCAATAAAATCCTCCGTTATCACAAACACTAGTTTCTCGCTGTCTGGTAGAAACTCTGATAGCTGCCTCAGTTGATATTTATTATGTGAAAAGTTCCTCTCTTGCCAGCAAACCCGGATGTTGTGTTCATTTTCAAGCTGTACCAGTTTAGGAAGGAGATAATTGCGACTCCACCAATCATCTTCTGATAATACAAAAAATGATTTAAACGTATATTGCCTCACGTTATCGACTGCTGCTTCTTGTTTCTTGAACTTCCTCCAAAAGAAGTACTGAACTTTCCACCTGTATTTAAAAACGAAGGACGAAATAACTAGGAACAACAACATAATACTCATTCCGAAGATCGCAAAAACTATCCAGAAAGATTCCTGATTGCAGTTTCCTAGAAACAGCTGGTAATTATCATTAACGTGACGCAGCATGGCAATGGAACCGTTTGGTACCACGCACGTGTATTTGTTATGATAATCGAGCATGACACTTGTATCGCAAATCCAAAAAACGAACTCCAGTGTATCGCACGTGCAGGCAAAGGGATTCCCATACATCAAAATCCTAATATTACGTTCGGGCCGCGAGTCCATGAGATCCAGCCATGTCCTTGCTTTCTTCCTAAGATAAGTTATTTTATTGTTCCTCAGATCTATGTTAGTAAGATTTGGCAAAATGTACAAGCCTGCAGGGAAATCATTGAAAATGTTCCAAGACAGGTCTATATTTGTTACCCCCTCCAAGCCCTGCACGCTTTCCTCTTCTAGGATACTTAAATGATTTGACGACATGTCTACCTCATTCAGTCGCTTGATATCCTTGAAAATGTAATTCTTATTACTGAAGGCACGATCTAAATTGGCATTCTGAATGACCAGTCTATGCACCCCTTCCATATTACCGAGCAGCATCCGTCCTGATGTTGCAAAATCCATACCTGAAACGTTCATATACTCTACCCGTACTCCTTTTATACGAAAATCTGCACTTGAAATAGTTGTGTGTGATATGTCCAGCAGATACAATGTAGGAGACCTAGATATATCCAGATCACAATCAATGAAAAATGGAAAGAGCAGATGTGTTAAGCGAAAGAATCGCATATGTGGTCCCAGGCTGAGGGGCATCACACATCGAAACGACGACTGTCTTTGTGGTTCTGGTAAATAACGTAGTTGTTTCCCATTCACCTGCTGACCCTCCTTGATCCCATGTGAAAATTTGATTGCGACATATGAATAATCTAGTTCTTCTAGATGTACACTCTCTTCAAAAAATATTAAAGCACTAAGCGCAAATCGAGGGAATGTGAACAAGAAGTTGTTTTCCGAGAACGAAATACGCCTTAAACAACTGAAATCGACAAAGGATTCCAAAGTCCCAACTGCTATTTCTACAATTCCGTTGTTACCTAAGTCAATATCTTCCACACACAATTGTCTATAGTATTGAGTCATTTCTTTTGTCACTTTAACAGTGTAGTTGACATCATTAATCCATAATAATATCAACGGATTAACATTATATAGATTCAGAACTTTCATTTTTCTGACAGGATGACTTTGATTGGTTGTAGCTGTGAGACCGTACAAAATGTCCATGGCAACCGGAAACGTTATCGAAGTACGAGAAAGATCCAGGTATTGCAGGGACGAGAAATGTTGTAAGAAAGCTTTTTCTATTTTCACAACATATGTGTCATTAACGTGGCAATTTGACATGTCCAAATATGTCAACGATTCCAGATCATGAAAGTTTATAAATGTATCGTTCTTAAGATGCATTAATGTACAGTCCTTAAAAACTAGTTTGTTAAGCTTTGTCATATTGCCGAACCCTGTTCCAAAGATAGGATTCGGTAGAAGGTCTATATGAAGTTCCTGAAGAGACATCAACGATGCGAACACTGAGTCTGGATACAAGGCTTCTGCGTCTAATGGCAAATTAACATTGAAGGATAAATCCAAATATTTGAGTTTGGTATTGAGGGTAAAACGGATTTCAGTAAAAGGTTGTTGTACAATGTTGATGTGGTTGTGTCCAAGTGATAAGTCCTGCAGTGCCGGAAGTCCAAAAAACGTCTCTTTACCGATGAGTTTGATTTCATTCCAGTTCAAATTTAAGGATTGCAAGTTAGGAAGGTTTAAAAAGGAGGATTTGTCTAGAAGTGATAACTTGTTTCCTGATAAATCTAAGCCTTCGGTGAGATTCGACAAGTGTGGAATATGATCGAAACCACGGTTCGAACAATCGGCCATTCTCTTGTCGGTTGATATCGTACAAGGGCGGCCATAGGAAAGGGCGATGACCGACAGAAGGTTTAGCACAACGAGTTGCAGATAGTTGTTCATTCTAAAAAAGAAAACATTAAAATAAACAATCAAGGCTTTAAAAAGCAGCATATTTTTTTGTATTATTCATATTTCTTATGGACACTTTAAGGTAAAGAATTACATCGCTATGTTGTTTCTCTATCACAAAAGAGTTCCAATATGAACAGCATTTCTTTAATTGATATTGCTTGTCCATTTACTAAGGCAAAGATTTACACGGAATAAGAAATTCATTACACTTTTAATGTTTTGGCAAACGCACTTTGAATACATTGCATGGCTTAACCACTCCCCAACCGCTCTATTATGTCTGTTTTGTATATAGTACGTTGATGCAATGTAACAGGGATTGAGTCTTGATGGTGTAACTTACTGAAAAGGCGCACAATTTATAATTGTCTTTGTATTAATTAAGATGTAATTATATAAATGATAATATTAGAAAGCATTCTCCAATGCCTATACACAGTTCATAGCTTAAACCTGCATCGACATCACTTAATACATACTGAAGGTAAGACACATTTTTGACCTGTGCTTTGTTCGGCTACGAATCGTTTCCGGCACAATAACATCTATCCGAAAAGTACCAGCGACTAAAACACTACACCAACGCCTATTCCACTTCTATTTCAAAACAGATAGTTGAAAGTTGCCATGGTAAATAATCCCCGACAAAGTCATATCATCTATCATATAGTTTTATTATATGTATGAACATTTCTCGCAATCACATTGGTCGGATCCTTTACACGTGACCAGTCCTCAAAAACTCATGTAGACTGGTTATCCGGTGAATATCGATTTCTAAATATAGCCTGTATGGAAATTCCCCGGAACCTGTCGTAACGCATGCGCAGTTATACTGGAACGCGATCTGTCATACGACATCAGAAGATGGCTCCTTCGTTGGGAAAATTACCAAAACTATTCGAGGATAAAGATGCTGTTAACGTACAAAAAAGGCCATTGAACACGCAGTGCATGTCCTCCATGCTTATCTTAAAAAAAGAATCTAGACGATGCCTTCGAAAGCTACAATGATGAACTGTTGTATTCAAACCTGGCTGGATTTTACACGGAGGCTCGCGTACAAAAATCAGAACATTTAGTTTTGTTTCGTTAAAACAGTTATGGGCTTTTGTGCTGTTAAATATGACGTAATATGAACCTGAAAGAGTGATATTGACCTCGGCTTCGCCTAAGTCAATATCACTCTTTTAGGTTCATATCACATCATATTCACCAGCACAAAAGTCCATAATTGTATAATATACGCAGATTAGCAAAGTTCGGAAACGTAGTTGAGGGGTGTACGTGTGTAAGCGAAAGGGATGTGTACGTGTGTATATAGAGGCTGTGTTTACGTGTTTAAGTCCGGGGGGGTGTACCTGTGTATGAGGAGGGGGTGTACGTGTATAGGTGGAGGGATGTGAACGTGTGTAAGTGGAGGGTATTTATGTGTGTAATTGGAGATTGTGTGTATATAGACGGAGGTGTAAGTGTGTTAGATGAGGGTTGTATAAGTGTGTAAGTGAGTAAGTGAAAGGGGTGCGAGCGTGTGCTAGTAGAGGGGGTTTTAACATGTGTAAATGGAGGTTGGGTGTACGTGTAAAAAAAAAAGACGGGTTGTGTACGTATGTTAGATGATGGTTGTGTACGTGTGTAAGCGAAGGTGGCTGTACGTGTGTAAGTAGAGGACATGTGAACGTAAGTAAGAAGAGGAGGTGTGTACGTGTGTAAGTGGAGGTTGTGTGTGCGTGTGGAAATATATGGAGTGTGTACTTATGTTAGATGAGGGTTGTATACGTGTGTCAGCGGAAGGGTTGGTAATTGTATAAGTGGAGGGAACGTATACGTACTCTGTATATAAGGTAGCGTAATGTATTCGTGTTAAATTGGAAGGGAAATGGTCGGGTATAAATGTGAAGGTTGGGGGTGTGTATGTTCGATATTGGAGGTGAAATGTACGTGTGTAATTGAATGAGAGTACTTTTGTAACTATGGGATGTGTTTATATGTAAGTGGCAGGAATGTATACCTTTGTTACTGGGGGTGATATGGACGTCTGTTCATGTTAGTGGATGGATGTGTCCATATGTGAGTAAAGGTTATATGTAGTGTGTAAATGGATGGGTGTGTACGTGTGTAAGTGGAGGGGGGTGTACGTGTGTAAGTGGAGGGGGGTGTACGTGTGTAAGTGGAGGGGGTGTACGTGTGTAAGTGGAGGGGGTGTACGTGGAGGCGGTGTGAACATGTGTAAGTGAAGTGTGTGTATGTGTATAAATGGAGGTAGTGTATACGTGTGTAAGTAGAGGGATGTGTACGTGTGTAAGTGAATGGTGTGTGTACATGTGTAAGTGGAGGCGTTTGTACATGTGTAAGTGGAGGGGTATGTATGTGTGTAACTGGAGAGGGTGTGTTCCTGTCCAACCCGAGGGGTATGTATGTGTGTAACTGGAGCGGGTGTGTTCGTGTGTAAGTGGAGGGGTTTGTATGTGTGTAACTGGAGAGGGTGTGTTCGTGTGTAAGTGGAGGTTATGTACATGTGTAAGTGGAGGGTGTGTGTACGTGTGTAAGTGGAGGAGGGTTGTACGTGTGTAAGTGGAGGGGGGTTGTACGTATGTATGTGGAAAGGGTATGTTCGGTTGTAAGTGGAGGTGATATGATGGAGTGTTAGTGCAATGTGTTACAATTAATTGATTAAGCTATTTAAGTCTTACGAACAGACGGTCGGAGTGTTGGCGCAACCATTTATTAAATATACATCTGTACATTGTACCACACTATTCTACAGACGGATGTGCAATCCTATATGTGGTTTTGATAGGAGAGACAGACACATGTTACAGATTCGGCTCACTATTTACGTCGCTGTGTTCGGTGCCCAGTTACAGAGTAAATACACAGTATAAAGACTAGTCTGACGATATCAAATAACTGCCTGTGCATTAAGCATTGATGTAATGCTAATGGTTTAGAATTACATGTATAGAGTCACCAGCATTGTGACACTGTAGCCAGAAATAGCTTTATGTAAATGGTTTCCCCGAAATGTCACAGGTTGATGCGTGGCGCACCTGCCCAGACATGGGGTGGGATAATTTGGGGATTTACCGAGAATTGCTATGTATTTATTTCTGATCACATTTGACACGTAAATGGTTGAGTAATTGTGTTCTCTGAGATTTTAAACAATACACATAGGTATAACCCTAATATACATTATGTTGCCTGTAGCTGTTTCGTGTATCGTTTGAAATATATAGCCTAATCAATTACACTGACGGGTACGACTAAAACTGTCAAGGATGGTCAGCTTAATGAATCAGCATAATATAATTTGTAGTGATAGGTAGACAAGTATTACGACTGGGTGACACCTCTACTGAAGATTACGTATGTGTGTGCGTCCCTTTACAACACTTGAGCGCGGGTTTTGTTAGATATACATCTGAAAGCAAGCAATACACTGTACATGTGCCTTATGTAATGTTTTTTAGATAAACTTGTTACAAATGTTTCAGTCAACATTAGACTTGACACCTTGGGTCCCTTGGTTGGATACGGTGATACATTTGGTGAAGTCAGGGTTTCGTATCATGATTAATTAGCTCGGTAGAGAAAAACAGTAAGATAATAATAAAAGTATTCTAAATCATTGATAATGTAGTCGTTAAAATAAATTGTAAATGATAACAAAAACACTCACCTTTCGCATTTGTTGAACAAACCGTACATGTATGGGATCCCTACGGTATACTGTTCGTCCTGGACAAGTGATACACGAATGTTAAACCAGGTGAATCGGACAATTATCCCGTTATGACATGGTTTTATATATAACTCCAAGCTTAGTTATCGGGGAGCTGTTACGAAATGTACACAGCGAAAACAATCACCTCCGCCTCAGTGATTCCATGGGACACTAAAGGCGGGTTACGTATGCCCGCTTTACCATCGTATTACACAACGAGGGTCAAAGTTTTTTTAATTCGTGAATATTTCATTACCTTAACCATAATGATATATCTTTACATACATTACACTGCCTACAACTGTAATCGTACGCAACGAAAAAGGAGATAATTGCCTTAAAACAACACATCATTCCACTATCAAAATATTGCCTTTGATATAACGGATATACCACCAGCGTAGGGGATACATAGACCATTTTTAGACCCATTCCGACAAGTACGTCTCCCATAAGAGGAACGGTAGTGGTATCTCAGATCCATTTTGATTATTTTGAATTTATGAATAGGTAGGAGACCGATTCAATCAATTCTGTCTCCTTCCTTATATTCCTGTTATAGAGTCTGGTCCGACAGTACAGAAGACCGATACGCCTAAAGACATTAATGTTGTGCTTCAGATCGGGGAGATGCGATTGCGGTGTATTTTTTTATTGAATCAAAGTGCAGTAATAAGTTAAAACTCCATTCAATATTTCTTCCAAACCACACCACACCATAACAACTCACCTGACTTAGGGCCATTTTAAAATACCTTGTAAGTCTGTACTCGGTAACACTTTTTAGTATATATTAACGATAACCGTTTTTTTGTGTACCAATTATTCTCTCTTTAACCTTGAAAACGCCTAAAAAGAGACCCTACAAGATAACAGTGTCTTTCGTTTTAGTACCGCTTGCACACAGAAAATTAAACAGTTTTCAGTTATATATGTGATTCTTCCTCCGTTGTTGAACAGGGTTTAACGACCAATCATTTGAGGACGTGCCTCCATGTGTGTTGTATAAGGTATTTGTTTGGCTCCTTGTGATAACGCTGATCTGATGCCAACTTTAATGTGCTTCCTCACTGAAATACCATGCCGAAAGCACCCAGCACATCATTCCGCCCTGTCACATTATACTGGCAACGGATGAACCAGTTGTTGCCATTCCTCTAATAATGTTGCACGTTAAGCAGGGAATAACAACTACCATTTTTAGATCACCTGCCCGAAGGGCAAGTGAGCTTATGCCATGGCGCGGCCGCCGGCGTTCGGCGTCTGGACGTCGTCCGTCAACTTTTCCTAAAAATCGTTGCTAGTCATACACGACGGAAATATAGTAAATTCCTTAAAATCCTTCTTCTTCTGTAATGAAAGGAAGTGTTCCATATTTAGTCTGAAGCATCCTAGGGTAAAGGTGAACCAATTTTGTATAAACCTGGGGTCTGGCCTCTGAGGGGCCTGAGTGGCGGGGTCCAATAGGGAAAATACAGCAAATTCTTTAAAATCCTTGTTCTTCTGTAGGAATTAAAGGGTTTGTTTCATATTTAGTCTGTAGCATCATTGGGTGAGGGGGAACCAATTTGGTATAAACCGTGGGTCTGGCCCCCGAGGGGCCTGAGGGCTGGGCCAAATAGGAAACACTTAGTAAATTCTTTAAAACCCTTCTTCTTCTGTAGGAATGAAAGGATTTGCTCCATATTTAGTCTGAAGCATCCTTGGGTAAAGGGGAACAAATTTTATATAAACCGGGGGTCTGGCCACTGAGGGGCCTGAGGGGCGGGTCCAATAGGGGAAATATAGCAAATTCTTACAATCCTTCTTCTTCTGTAAGAATGAAAGGATTTGTTCCATATTTGGTCTGAGGCATCCTTGGATTAAGGGGAATCAATTTTGATAAACCGTGAGTCTCGCCCCATAGGGGCCTGAGGGGTGGGGTCCAATAGGGGAAATATAGCAAATTCTTAAAAATCCTTCTTCTTCTGTAAGAATGTAAGGATTTGTTCCATATTTAGTCTGAGCATCCTAGGGTAAAGGGGAACCAATTTTATATAAACCGGGGGTCTGGCCCCTGAGGGGCCTGAGGGGCGGGTCCAAAAGGGGAAATATAGCAAATTCTTAAAATCCTTCTTCTTCTGTAGGAATGAAAGGATTTGTTCCATATTTGGTCTGAAGCAGCCTTGGGTGAAAGGGAACCAATTTTGATAAACCGTGGGGCTCGCCCCCGAGGGGCCTGAGCAGCGGGTCCCAATAGGGGAAACATAGCAAATTCTTTAAAATCCTTCTGCCTGTAGTCATCGAAATTTAGATTTGTTAATGGAATGAGGATGATCAAAATCAGAAAACGAACGATTGTGTACTTAGCAATGCAATCAAAATCATACTAACTGTTATAACGCCGTGCAATTACGTTTGAGACCAAATATTTCTGATTTATATAACCACTAACTTCTCTTTATTACCATTATTTCTTTTCCTGTAAGAGGTCAATAACGATTCTGTGGAAATCAGGTCGTTATGTTGGATATCTTTTTCAATTATTCTTATTTGTAAAGTTTTAAAAAATGGTGAAGAAATTGACGAAAAGGTTCGCCATTGCAAGCAGAAACGATTTACAGAATTTAGATAAATACTCAATGATATTAAGAAATAGTAGTTTTGATAGTACAACGCCATATTTAACCGTTCTTTTTCAAGATGGTGAGTATCTAATAAGAAGACACTATGTAACGCACTATATTTTGACGTTTATGTATTTTCAGCTTTGTTGCAAAGCTCATTGTTTTCAGTCTGAAATGTTGATGAATAGTGATACCGTCACGGGTTCAACTTTGGAGCTGACACTATACATGTATATATATAACACTAGATTTATGTAAAAATTTTAAAGAGGATCCCAAGCATTATACCATTCGTAATCCATTGTTTAAAACTGGGCTCGTTTGGATGTGTGTTGACACTGTAATGTGATTAAGGATACCTTTATCACTGTCAGAAACTGTAACCACGCATTGGAAAATTATTATAGCTTTTATTCATCATTATTGAAAAAAGATATGCCATGTTAGTTTGTAACAAAAAAAAACACCCAACAAATATCAAATACAATTTCAACAAATTGTATTGATAGTCATGATCATTTGGACAGAACATCAGGCTTAACGCCTATATCAAGTTCTCTTCATAATACTATTACAAATTTAATTCAAATAATATCCGGTAATTGATAAAAATGAAAACTATGTGATATACAGTCAGATTAAGTTTATCATATATTTTAACATTTTACTGAATATAATTTGTGTGCTTTGATTATAAATCTTGTAATGATATAGAATAAAAATAAATAATACATGCTGCTATATACAAATGCAGCTGAGGGATAAGTGCCGAAAAATGAAACGAATAAGAGTTATACTCAACGACAGTGATCTGAGTGTATAACCACAGATAGTACTGAAACTAACTTGAGTTACCTCCCGTTGAACCTTGAAGCTAAAAGTTCGGTAGGTAAGCTCTGTAAGTATATTTCAGTTCTTGATCAATCCAATGTTTATCAAGTCTGATTTTAAATGTATGCATTGATGGTTCTGATATCATATTCTCTGGAAAACCGTTCCATAATTCAACTACTCGTAAGGGGGGGAATTCAACTTTATTTCAATGTTTGTATGTTGTGGATAAAGGTGTTTTTTTTGGAATGCCCGCTGGTACCATTTCCTTTGGAAAAGTCCTGCCACAAGCTAAGGCAATCTGATGCTGTTTGATCATAGAAACTACTCCTTCTGGAATATTTATATAACATTACCTCCTGCACGTCTGAAGCTCAAATCAGGTAAGTTTAGCATTTTAAGTTGCTCCGGATATGACAGATCTGTTAATCCTGGAATTTGTTTCGTTGTCCTTCTTTGGACTTTTTCCAACATATCAATATAATGCATAGTTTCATATGGGCACCATACCATGATTGCATATTCTAAATGGACGCAAACAAGAGTTTTATATTATAGCTGAAAAGTACGTTCATATGACTATTTAAAAGTTCTTCGAATGAGTGTTTTCATTGAATTTACTTTTTTAACCTGCGCAATTATTTGGTCTTCAAATGTTAGGGCATTGGTCTATAAACACTCCCAGGCACTTCACATGGCATACTTCATCTAGTGCTACACGATACAAGATACAGCAAGATACAAGACACAGCAAGATACAAGATACAGCAAGATACAAGATACACCAAGATACAAGATACACCAAGATACAAGATAGATGAATATTTATTTAACGTCACATACCATGAACCTACAAACATTAGCTCAGTAGAGCTATTTCTGCGACAAACATTGGTATAAATATAAAACAAACAACAACACGGCATGCCCTGTATTTTAAGTGATACATTCAATATCTCAATACATAGCCGATGAGCAATTATCTACTCTTTCCATAATGGAATCTCAAGAGCCAATCAGCGATTATGTATCTTTAAACCCAATCATCACTCTACATTTTTTTATCATCATCAAAAAGGTAGCCAGAGGAGTTACAAATGTAATAACATCTAGGATATCGTTTGTGTATATTACAAGCATATGGAATCCTTGTGTATAGTACAAGCACAAGGAATCCTTGTGTATATTACAAGCATAAGGAATCCTTGTGTATATTACAAGCATACGGAATCCTTGTGTATAGTACAAGCATAAGGAATCCTTGTGTATATAAAAAGCATAAGGAATCCTTGTGTATATTACAAGCACAAGGAATCCTT